TGAATGGGTAAAACTTCAAATAATACTCGTACTAGTTTAAGTACGCGTGAATATTCGAGTTATGACACAATATCAACGTATTTGAGTACAATTTCTATTGAAAATGCAAAGACCATTCGGAGAATTTGCATAGGTTTACTGTTTTAGTGGGAAAAGGTCATGTGATTAGTTGGAGTCCAGTTTCACCACGCATTACGAAACTTCCGTAAATGCCAAAGTGTAAGTGCTAAAAGCTACCATTAGCTAACTGAGATACTACGAAATATTTTATATTTTTTATCACTTTTGGCTCATTCATTGCTCCTTTCATAACTTTCACAACAGTAATTTAGCAACGATATAAGAAAAAGGAACCGAGTTTATTAGCAGTAGTCTAAACTATTCGTTTAGCAAACTTGTTTGTGTCTACCATTTGTTTCGATAGTCGCTGATTCCATGATCGATGATGAATGAGACAAACCATCATAATTGGCACTGAATTCCAAATATTCTATTAGTCGCTGCAATCTTTGTCTGTTGTTCGTGTTTTTCTTCTGTAATCTGTAGGTATGTATCCATGACTGAGTAATATGAAAACAAATATCTATTGTATCTGTTAGATGAACAGATGGTTTATGCATCATTGTTAATTGAGATAAAACTAATGGAAAAAACAAGAGTTGATTTTCCAATAAATTAGAGAGGAAAAAGCTTTGTGTGGAAATATACTTATAACCTAATAGAATTCGGTCTTCACTAACCGAAATAAAAACTGTGCAGTTTTACACTAAAAACCCAGTAAAATGAAGGTATTTTATGTCATAACGTATCTTCTACTCTGCTGCAATGGTGTTCATTTCCAAGATACAACAAAATGGTATGAGAATCGTATGTCAACTGAAGTTGTTCCGCCGTACAAACACGCATATGTCGTTATACAACAACAAATTTTAAATCCTTTGATTCTTGCAGATGTAGAGAAACTCGAGGACGATGAAGCAGCCGTAATTCAACTAGCGAAACATATTCACTGCGCAGCAAACGATATTCACAATAATCTCGGTAAAGCAGTTGCGGCTAGTTCAAACATTAATCAGAAAATTGAAGAAATACAAGCGCAGACAGTATCAGCTATGAGTGTGAAAGAAGATGAAATACGTCAACTTGAATCAAATATCCACACTACTAGCGCTAGTATTCATTCGACTGAAGTTCAACTATCTCAAGCTGAGAATGATGTTCGACAGAAAGAGAATGATGTTAACATAGCTACTGCAAATTGGAGGCAAGCTGAACAAGACGTTAACAAAGCGCGTCATTGCATTGGTAAACGTTTTCTTGGAAAAATAGGAGATATCGTCAAAAAACCGTTCAAAATCGTTGAAAAATCAGTTTGTAGCGTAGTTAATAATGGTGGAATTAACCGTGCCAAAGATAGACGAAATGAGGCTGGTAATGCACTTTCACTTGCTCAAAGAACAGCTGGTCACTTTCGTCAACAATTGCATGATTTAAGAGTAAGAAAATCAAATTTTGATACGCAGTTAAACGAATTAAAAGCTCGTCTACATCTGTTGCAATCCACTCGAAATGAATTACAACAGCAACAGAGGCATACATCAACAGTTACTAATCAACTAAAACAGGCTATACAACATTTAGAAAGTTTTAATTCTACATCAAGTGTACTAGTTACCATTTTGAAACGATTAGTTGAATTTGATATTCTAATTCAACCGCTAAACGCCATTTATAACGAAATGTTGAATAGTCACATAATGGCACAATTTCCTGATGGACAAATTTCGGCTGAAACAATTCAGCAAGTAAAAGAGAGTGTAGAGAAATTGTCAGCTATCCTGCCGACTATGCCGTTAGTGAACAGTGTAGAGCAGAATACATGTGGAAACTGGACAAGTACTGCAATTTTTAGCTTTAAATATAAGTCAACTATAGCTCCATCTCCGCCTACGAATAATCTTAAACCACAAATACAACCATCATCAGTGCACACTGAACAAAAGAAAAACGATTTTTCAGAATTGGCACGAGCGCGTATCCGTGAAGCTTTGCAACAATTTAGAGACAGAATGACAATGCCGGACAGCCATCTAAATCGGTCATCGGAAGTACTAAAACTACTTTCACAAATCGGTAAAATTACTATGGAGGAGACTGAGAACGATGTCGAAGACTAATTTTTCCATTGACTTTTGATCTGACGATACCTTATTTGGTTATATTTTTTCTTTGCCTACCATTATTTTCCTTCAATATTTTTAAATGTTTTACTTAATGACACAATTTCATCTTTGACATGTAATTCATAAGTAGGCATGTACCGATTGTGGTTAATCAAAGGCAAATTCACTTGTCGTTAGTTTCCTCCAAAAGTAAAATTGATGCTTTAGAATCCACAACGTAGAATTCATCAAACGAAGTGTAAAAAGTGTTATTCGAAGTTTTTGGCGTTTTTCTCCTTTTGTATGTACTGTGGAATCTTTATTTATACATATTCAGATGCGGAATAAAATTCTGCGTCAAATGGCATATAATTCAATGGGTTTTGAAAGAATTTGAATTTTCAGGTTTTTTCGACGTGCGCCGACCGTTTTTGACAAGAGTCTCCCGAGTGTTTTCCATAATTTCCCCAAAAGTTCGACGACGGTTCATGGTAGCATTCTGAGTCTACTTCACGAAACCGTAGAGAGCCCTTCAAAGATACCATCTTCGATTGCAAAAACCACTTTGCAAAACGGCCGATGGCGTTTTGTCTATGTCTAAAGAACGAACTATTTCTGGAGAACACTTTACTCAAACAAGTTCAAATTTTTATCATAGATAGTACTCATAGCAAGACAGCTCTTGTAAGATTTTCGACTGAAAGATCGCTTTTTTCCGTATTTTACGGCTTTCTTTACAAGCGCTCTAGCGTAGAGGGAAAGCATTTGGAAAGAAATATCAAGAGACAAAAATGTTCAGGACACATTTCTCTATCTGCTCTGATAATTGAGAAAAATCTGTGACAGGTCATTGAGCAACTTAGTTCGTCCCTATCGTGCATTGCCTCATACATTTTCGTTTGTTTTTTGGCATGTGTAATACACAGTATATCTGTACAAACGTTGAATTCTCTAGAATTCTACACATTTTGCCTTGTCTCTTACCTGACTAATAAACAGTATATTATTACTAATCTGGAATTCCACAGAATTCTATGCGTTCCTCTTGTCTCTTACTTGTCTAACACACAGTATATCTGTACTAACGTAGAATTCTATAGATTTCCGCTCGACTCTAACTTGGATAATACACACTATATCCGTACTAACGTAGATAAGCCGAAATGCATCGAATTCTATAGATTGTAGGTTAGTACAGACGTACAGTGCATGAGCCAGGTAAAAGACAAGCTGAATGTATAGCATTCTATAGAATTCTGCGTTGGTACAGATATCGTATGATATCAAATATAAAAAGATATGATTTAGGTAGAGCAGTTTTTATAACACGAACGAGGAGAGAGTACAGTACTGCTATAAAGATTATAGTAATAGGATTTTAGCAAAATTCACACACTTTAATTTTATTATTCAAGCTTTCGAACGCTTCTTCTCTTATCTTCAGGAAAAACAAAATGACAAAACTATTAAGAAATAGGTTCAAAGTACATAAGAAAGAGAGAGATAAAGAACAAAAGTGATTTGTTGTTTATCAAAACTTTTTTTCCGAATCATTTTGTTTTTCCTGAAGATGAGAGAAGAAGCTTTCGAAAGCTTGAATAATAAAATTAAAGTGTGTGAATTTTGCTAAAATTCTATTACTATAATTTTTATAGCAGTACTGTACTCCCTCCTCTTTCGTGATAAAAGATGTTCTGCTTTGAAGCATGTAGAGGAGATGGATGCTTTCGTCAGAAGGCAGAAAGTCAAAACCAGAAAATCCTGCTTTGATGAAATGTGCTTTGTATGAGCGACCAGAGAGAAGCCGAAATTTTTAGAATTCTGCGTTAGTACGGATATACTGCGTATTAGCCAACTAAGAGATAAAACGAAATGCATAGAATTCTACGTCAGAACAGATATACGGTGCATGACGCAAGTTAGAGACAAGCCGCAATGTTGAACATTCTACAGAATCCTGCATTGATACAGATACAAGGAGGAAACACCACACTCCATACTCCACTACTCCGCGGAGTGAACTTCCGCTCCGGTTTATTTTAATTAATTGCACATGATATGCAATAATAACAAGTGATATTTAGGCTTTATTAGCTGCTGGTTCATTGGTCGTCAATATATCGTTTATATTTATAGTTGTAGAATGGAAACTCAATGATTCATTTGTAACGATACTATTAAAATGGTCTGTACTAACTTTTTACATCAGTTTTACTGTGTGGCTATTGTCATTACCTTAAATTCTTTTCTGTGCGTGTGTGTCTGCCTCGTTCTCTGTCTTTTTTTATAGATAATCGTTAATTTGAGAATAATTGTTCGTAAAAGGTCTTTATCTTTCAGTTCGACGCTTGTAGTTTATAGTATCGCTTTGGAACTAAACGATAGATCACAGGCTAAGTCGTTTCAACTAAACCAAAATCGTTTCAAAAGCCGTCACTGCTAGTCCGTACATCAGAAGCAGTCCACATTTTCCCGTACATATATATATATATATATATATCGTATTTCAGTACACATTCTTCAGTATATATATATATAACGATTTATGAATTTTCAGATACTGGCGCCACCATATCTCGAAAGCGACTTTCACCTTAACACCATTGCATAGTTGCAAGATTTCCCGGTAACGAAACATCGCAGAGAGCTCGGGAAGGTCTTTAATTGAAGCTGACACATGTGGCTAGAGGGTAACAGAACTGGATTTTTGATATTCGATCTAGATTTGTGGTTAGAAAAATATCTTTATGCAAGTTAATGAGACTTTTGACGCTGATCATTAATTTGAAAAGTAAAATATCAAATATTCGGCTCTATTGGCCTCTAAACACGTGTGTTTTTGTCAGCTTAGGACTAGCCCGAGTCCCGAGTCTTAACAAAGCCTATTTTCTGTATCTTATCGGAGTCAAAAGCTTAATATCGGCGATGTTCTAAGCACTTTTTTCTCTATATGCAAACAATGATCCGACTTGTATTTGATACAGAACAATACCCACTGAAAAACTGAATAAAATGGTGAATAAAAATCATATAAACAACAGTATGCTCAAAGAATTAAAAAAATAAAAACTCTGTAGATATTGACGGTATTCATATTAAATTTTTGAAGCTGTGTTCTGACGAGATCTCACCTCACCTCGACCATTTATAGTCTTCAATTAAAAAAGGAGTTTTTCTGAAAACATGGAAGAAAGCCTTAATAAGAGCAATCCACAAGAAAGGATCGCGTAGTTAATGTTCTAAAGACCAATCTCTTTACTATCAAACATAAGTAAAATTTTTGAGTTATCGGTACATAAATCTCTAGCCAAACATTTAAATAAAATTAGTTTTTTCACATAAACGCAATTTGGCTTTCGAGTTAATTCATCCACAGCTGATGCGCCATTGCATGTTACAAGTCAACTAACAAAGATTTTAGAAGAAAAAAGGGTAGGATTAGGAGTTGCGTTTGATTTTGCTAAGTCATTCGGTAGAGTTAGTCATCGAGTACTATTAGAAAAGTTAAGTAGAGCACAAGTGACCGGTAGTCTTTTTGAATGGTTTCACTCGTATCTATCTAGAGAGCAACTGGTAGTAATCAATAATAAGAAATCTAAAGCAGCAAAAGTTACATCTGGTGTGCCCCAAGAGAGTGTCCTTGGCCCTTTACTTTTCTTGATTTTCATAAACGATTTGAATGAGAAATTTGCTTCTACAGTGACCGCATCGCTTTTTGCTGACGATGTTTTTGATTAATTCCTCTTCAAAATTATAACGATCTCTCAGAAGTTCAAAAGTTTTTAAGGGGGGGGGGGGGGGGGGGGGGGGGGGGGGGGGGGGGGGGGGGGGGGGGGGGGGGGG